ATTAGATTGAACTGATGGGGTTTAGGGTCCAGGGCTTAATGGAAGCAGCATTTTCGAGCAAAACTTATCACAGCAACCTCTCATCCCTAGAAGAGCCGCTGAGACATCCGAGGTCCACACATGTGGCTGAGCTTTCGGGTTCGATGACTGCAGCAGCAGGGCATCCCAGAGCCTCTCAAGAAGTGCGAGGGTCAGGAGCCTTAGAGCCTTAGGAGTGCAAGGGGTTCAAATTGGGATGTTCCCCTTGATACGAACAGTCCTTCATAGGGATTCTAGTACCCCCTACTATAATCCCTATTAAGCACTGTTCGAATAAGGGGAAAATCCCAAGATATGCCAAGATTCAGGTTCAAAGGAGAAGCAAGGACATGGTGTGCTCGTACCGTAAGAGAACCGACCCGACTTCTTAGCAACGGAGCGTGCAGCGTGCAGGGCTGGAGTTGGGCGGAGTTGGGTCACCTGAAGACGCTGGCTGTCGGCATGAATGTCGCATACCACCTGGCGCGGTGCAAGCAGATTCCATGTTGCGCCCTTTTGGGTTTCTTCTTGCAGCTATCGGTGACAGGTCACTGAAACCCAAGTGTCAGGATGATGATGTAGTACATCGCTTGCAAATAACCACATGACGGGGTTCAAAAACACAACGTCATGTGTAAATCAACGGCTCACAAACCTCAACCTCAAAATAAAACGTTGGTTGGGAAGCCCTCAACCCTAAAGGAAGATGTAGGGTGGGAGAGCCCAAAACCATCAAAGGAGCTTCGGGGTGGAAAGCTCAAAAGACGTTCCACCCTAAACCCCACAAGGAAGATGTTGGGAAGCACACTTTCAGCCCGAAAGCCGATGCTGGACCAATCCCAGCGGAAGCACTTCACCCCAAAAGACATTGAATGGCACACCAGTGTACTAAACGGAAGCATGCTGTTACAAAACGAATTGGTACTTTCACATGGTCATGCCAGGTGATATAATTTGGCTTAAGCACTGCTTCACGCACTCGTAAGTTCCCAAGGGAGCCAGGGCCCCAATGGGTCAACTGACTCCACACAGACCGTCATCAGGTGAGGGCGAGAGCGAGCGAGAGAGCGCGAGAGAGAGAGAGAGAGAGAGGGAGAGAGGGAGAGAGGGAGAGAGGGAGAGAGCGAGAGAGCGAGAGAGCGAGAGAGCGAGAGAGCGAGAGAGAGCGAGAGAGCGAGAGAGCGAGCGAGCGAGAGAGCGATGAGAGCGAGAGAGGAGAGAGCGAGAGAGAGAGAGACACAGAGAGAGGAGGGAGAGAGAGAGAGAGAGAGAGAGAGAGAGAGAGAGAGAGAGAGAGAGAGAGAGAGAGAGAGAGAGAGAGAGAGAGAGAGAGAGAGAGAGAGAGAGAGATGGATAGAGAGATAGAAAGAAAGAGAGAGATAGATGGATGGAGATATATATATATATAGAAATATGTATATATTGTTGCCTGCGGAGTTTGGGGGCCCTCCCTGTCACCTCATGAAAGCACCGTAGAAGATGGTGGACAGATCCAGGCCCATCGCCGACAGGCCTAGGGCTGCAGGACTCAGGGGTTTAGGATGGAGGGTTTAGGGTTGAGGCTTTCGGGTCTAACATCCATAATGTGAGGTATACCCTTCCTGAGGGCCTGCTTGTTGCTCCAACTGAAAGACCCCGTCAAGCTACCATAACGCGCCCTGAACCGCAAACCCCAAGCACGAGACGCATCTGTCTAAACACAGCCCTCACCCATCAACGTCCCTAGCTTGCAGACTGCAAGGCTTGCATAGAGTAGTCTGTGCCAACCTGGCAGGCAAAGATTGAGGGAAGGCTCAGGCTGGCAACAGAGCAGGCAAAACTCAACACTGCAAGCAGATGGGAGAGAGTGAGCTTGAATGGATGGCAGCGACCTCTGCTGGCATGAATGTGCACCACTCCACTCTTTTTTGTTCCCTGCCAGAAACCCTCGGCTGGTGTTGGCCTCTTCTGGCAAGAAAACTTCATGCACAAGTGTCATTGCGACTGTCTTCTTCTGCATCGGACGGCTTCAAAGCTAGCCATCACAGCGCTCAGTTCATAGCGCACCAATCTTTCGCCTTTTACTAAAGGTTGCCGTGAATGGGACGCATCAATGTGACTCACACAATTTTTTGCGGGGCTTCGTGCTCCAACAACAAAAACAACAGCCATGACTCACTGCCAGAGGCACTACTCTGCCTGCTGTGAGACTGCCAGTCTGCCGGCTCATGGCAGATGGGTTCAGACTTGTGATCTGACTCACATATGCCAAGTTCTTGACGGAGGAAAGCGAAAGCACACCCAAACAAAGCAGAAGCTCATAAACAGTTTGCTTTTGTGCATTGACTGCCAGCCTGCCAGCTCACGGAAGATTGTTCAGACTTGTGAACTGATTCAACATCTGCCAAATTCAGGACGGAGAGGCCAGAATGAGCACACCCACATACAATTTGACATCAAGCAAAAGCTGACAGCACCCTAAGCACTTCCCAGCCGGTCCCCCAGGCCAGTACTAGGCGGGCTCTCCACCGCTTAACTTCGGAGGTCAGAAGAGATCCGGTGCTTTCGGCGATAACAGCTTAACAGCTTAACGGCTAAACTCTCAAAGCTCAGAGCCTGGAGTTGAAGGTAAGTCCTGGAGCCTGTGCCCTGGCTCCCATTAGGCATGAGATGGGCAGCTTCTACATGATTGCAGGGAGGCATGGCTTTTGAGTCTAGGGCTGAGGGCGCCGAGGTCACATGAAAGCGAAGCCATGCCACGTCACGCAGCTCCGAGACTGAGGCACTGGTAGAGCTCCTTGTCGTGGTAGGCTACGGCACACTCCAGCAGGTGCACATCCTCCACCCACGCAAGTGCACGGCTTGGCTTCGGGATTCTTGAGAAGACAACCGAACACCTCAACAGCCATGTTAGAAAGAGGTCCTTTGGGACGGTTGAGTGTGCACATGAAGGTTGCGGCGATTTTTGGCTTTGGGCATGTGCTCATGACAAGACATGTCATGCTTTGCTGGTCTAGAGACAGCTGCACCTTTGCGCTTCCCAGCGTTTCCTCTCTCGCCTCATACATATGCATATACATATATGTATATGTATATTTGCCTGGCTTTCTTCGTTTTTGCTGTCGATCTCTCGAACTTTCAGAGAACTAGGTCTGGATTCTGCACGAGGCTTACCACTGCAAAGCTTCCCTCGATACGAAAGCCACACACACAGCACAAAGCTCCCAAATGAAGCCCCTCCTGCATGGCGCCGCTGCCAGCCACCAGCGCCGCATGCTCTTGCTCGGGCTGAAGTGGCACCCTGAGCTTGGGCAGTATTAACGGGCCTTCACGAGACACGGGCTTTGGGGGCTGGTGGTCTTCAGCCTTGAGGGTTTTGGCCTCAGGTCTCGCGTGCGTGGATTCGGGCCTAGATGGATATGAAGTCGGATTCTTTCTTCTCTCGCCACATTTCCTAAGGGAAGATGCCTCCACCCACCCAACTACAACAAGAAGAACTCCTCATCATCCCTATGCCCTATGCCAGAACTTGGGAATGAGGTTCGTAAGTTCCAAGCCTCCAAGCCTCCTTTGAGTCCTGGTGTGGTTGTGGTCTTGCTTTTGGAATGCACCAATGATGTTTCCGAATTTCCAGCTAAGTTTTTCGACTTTTTGCAGGAGGCGTTGGACGGCTTTGTGGCTTGGGTTCTGAGGTTCTGGGGCTTTTGAGTCTTGCGCTTCTCCCGACAGAGGTCGGGGCTTGACATGGGCCGAGCTCCCGGCCCATAGTACTCGCGGTACATGCCGTTCGTGCGTGTGCAGATCAGTGTGTACAGAAGCCTGAGCTACGGGCTGGAAGATAACTCGTGTTATGCTGCTCTACGCTGCTACAGCTCAAGCATCCCCACTATTCCCCACTTCAACCTGAGCTGCAGGCAATCTCTCAAGCTAGCTTGCTTGGATGTTTGCTGTTGCACGGAACGTCGCCATAAATGCATTCTTCTACAATCTGCCAGGATACGTACGCAGCCTTTCAAGAAACCATCACAACGCTCTCGCACAAAAAAGTCCTGGCCCCTTGTCAGGGAGCCTGAAGAGATTCTCGGGAATCCAGCATGAGCCCTTAACCCCCGGGCAACGGACGACTAGGTGGAAGAAACTCTGCCGAAACCTGAGCCCCAAGCCCACCCCTCGAGGCTCCCGATGAGCCCCAAATCAGGCACCCCGGCCAGAAGACCGAGCTCTCTGAGGGCTGGGTGAGCCCCTCCCCGGTGTAGCTGGACGAGGCCACCTCTAAAGGGACGAGTCTAGGGAGTAGGGCTAGGGTTTGCGGTTTGCGGTTTAGGGTTTAGGGTTTGGAGTCAGAGAGACAAGGCGACAGGCGCGTCCGCTCAACAGAAAGCCTGGAAAATCCGGGCCATTATGAACGATATGACCCAGGTTTTGGGAACGTCCGCTGCGTGCTACGCACGCCTACCTTTCTGTGAGCGAGACCATGCTTCGACAGGCCCTGATACCTTCTGGCAAAAGACGCAAATGGTTCCCAGCGACCGAACCCTCGGCCTCCTTGTAACCCTGAGGCAGGAGGAGGAAGAAAGAAAGCACCTGCTCCGGCTTGGCATTCAGAACACTTGGCCCAGTTCTCAAGGTGTTCACGGGCTCTCGAAGTCTGGGGGTTCAGAACGTGAGGCATAGGCTTATACGAACCTGGAATCTACGTTGCTCGGGAAGCAGCTGTGCAAACGCTCAAGCCCGACACCCCGGCTACCCAGCCGTCATGTAGGTGTTTGCTGTGTCTATCTGTTGAGAAGAGCCCTGAGAGCATGCGTTGCTGCCGTCGCTATGTGAAGATTGAATCAAGCTTCAGTAGTTGTTGAGGGCGCAAGAAAGAAACTCTCTGCGCTAGCCCTGATCTCAACAAAGCGTTGACGGCCTCCGTTATACCCCATGGGGGAATGGGAGATGTATAGGGCATACAGGAGCATGATAAACATTGGATGCGCAGCTCCACATCAATGTTTCGGTCAGGGCGCCAGCAAGCTCTCGCAGTACGTGATGCCGCTGTCCTCGATGGCCAGCAGGGCCGTGACCACCTCGAGTGTGGAATGGCCACGAAGTTGAATTATTGAACTCCAAGCCTAACTTACTAACACAAACCCTAAATCCTGACACTGACCACAAAACCTGGAAGTGTGGATTCTTGCATCCCTCTTGTGAATCCGCCGAGGCTTGGGGGACGGGAGGCCACAGCAATCCTCTATGAGCCTGTGGAAACCATGAACACCCCTGCAACAACAGCCTTCGGCGCAAGCTGGTAAGTAGACCCTTCTTCTAAAACATGAAAGTGGTTTCGTCGTGTACATGGCTGGCCAAAGGTTTACTTCGCAGCCTGACGTGGCTTCATGAAAAATCGGTCGCGCCCGTACTTTCACGCTTCCATGCGCCCAAAACAACCTGGCTGCGAGTGGGGCATATAATATAGCAACCAGGCTACATACAAACAAGTGACGGTGTGAGTACCCAGAGTCCGACTCACCCATCTGTTGTTGCCCTAGTTCGAGCTACGAACGGTGTGTCCGACTCACCCGTCTGTTGTCACCCTAGTTAGAGCTGCTACGAACCTCTCCGAATCCACCTATGAAACTCAGCTGTCCACATTCTTGGCGTTCTTGATCCGCTTGAGGTGGAGCTCCATCCTCACAGAGCGTTGGGACGTTGATAAAAAATTCTAAACCCCTAAACCCTAAACCCTAAACCAAAAAAACAACTGAACTGCGCGGCGTCGGTTTTTGCAGGCGCCAAAGTCTTCAGGAAAAGGGTCAGGGCTCTTGAGGTTCAGGAGTTAACGGCTTCGGAATGTGCGCCCATGGAATCGGGAGGATGTCAGCGACTTGGCTTGCCTCAAGTACCCGAGCAGCGTCTGAAATCTGAACACTGGATTCACTGGAACCCAAAAGCACATATGCCCCAAATCATCAGACTAACTTGACCAAGAATCATCGCATGAAACTGAGCCGTCTACCCAGAAAGAACCCTTAAACTGCATAAAGACTGAACCCAAACTGGGCCGTCGGACGCTTCGGGAAGCGGCGGGGTGCTGGACTCCCAACCGGCGAGCAACACCGCCTCAGCGGGTGAGGTTTTGGGGGAGGGGCGGGGCAGGGGTGGGGGGGGGGGGGGGGGTCCGCGGGGGCTGGGTGGGGGGGGGGGGGTAGAGCTTTGAGTGCAGATCTTGGGGAGCATTCAGCTTTGGGGTTGGAGACATGGTCCTTGCTATGTGTAAGATTTAGAGATCTCAGGGGCAGAAGGAGTCAAGACTGCGCGGTCGGAAGTTTTTTATCGGATTGGCTTAGGCAAAGCTGAGCCCAACGTCCTGGAGAACATCCATGTCGACGGTTTACAAAACACAGGCCCTTAAGGTGTCTAGTGGCTTCTGGCTCAGCACTGGAGAACAGAAGACAAGGGACACCACATCTTCTCCAGCTGTCCTTTCGCCACTCTGAGTAGTTTTTCAAGTCCCTGGCATCTTCTTGGAGCTGCTGCATCGCATCGGAGTGCTGTGGCAAGCCGCGCTCCAGCAGTTCTCGGTACTCCTCTCGTCGCAGAGCATCATTGTTTGTATAATGTAAACTATAGATTTTGAATATTTCCTGTTCATATAATGTATATATATATATATATCACATATTATAGCATGAGCTGGGGAACTCAAGCAAGTAGGTCACGCTCGATGTTCAGACTTCCAGGCTGCCAGGAGGAACAGAAGGGATCTAGCTTCGAAACCCGACAAAGAGTTCGCAGTCTGGCATTGGAGCTTGCAGATATTCGTTTAAGAGAACAGTCGAGCACGGTTCAGCAAGGAGGAAAGCCTCAGGTTCAGCAGCGAGGAAAGCCCAGCTGACCCATTACTAAACCCTGAAGTCTGCGTCTGGAAGGAAGAGAACTGCATCCGTCGTCGTGTTATACAAGCAGCAGAAATAATGCTCCGAAGCAGCACACTACAAGCACTGCGATATCCTGCGAGGTCTTTCGGGATCGGAATGGCAACGCGGAGCTCTCGTGAAGGCAGACCGTGACATCGGTCACATCTGCGACTATGCGCCTAGCCAGATGAACCTTAAGAGTCTGCTTTTCTGATCGCCAACCAAACTTTAGCTCGGCTTTTACAAAAAGCACGGCAGTCCTGTTCCGCAGCTTCTTCCCCACTCGCCTGGCGTGGCGTGTCGTGCTGCAGGCGGCCCCGAAGCTCGAACCTTCCCTGTCGTATAAGGGAATACTACCCCTCATCAGATTCGGCCTCACGAGTGAAGCCTCTGTCTTCAGCATAATCATTTAAGCTTCTATCCGTCTGCTTCGTATGGCTAAAGCTCAGTGGTGCAAGCATGGGCTCTTCTCAAAGAAGTATCCACTCTTCTTGAGTGGTCAGTGGACCTTTGTGACACTTTTCCCTCGAACACAGGCCATATACCCGGCCCAAGCAATGGCAAGTTTGCTGGCAAGCCTCGGGGTCACGCCCGAAAGCTGCCCCATCCTGCGTGGCCACGCGGCTGGCCAGCGTGAGCCTGGTTGGCTAGAGATGGCTAGAGGCTTCCATAAACGCCCCGCGTTAAGGTCCTGGGCCCTAGGGGTAAATCGGTTCGTCCAACTTAAGGTAGGGTAGCAGGCTTTGGGCTGCAGCTGGCTTCGGATAGCTTGTCCTGATTCTAGAGCTCCCAAAACTCAGGGTTGCACTTAGGTGGATCTATTTGCCAGCGATGCTTGCGCCGAGAACATCAGGGTTTGCAAGTGGTCTTGGCATGCCTCAGGCATGGAGGCATACTTACGATGACTCCCAAAACATCTTCGGAGGCCTAAAGCCTAAAGAGCCCACGAACCATGCCCACGCATTGCAGCAGCGATGGCGGAACCCACTCCTTGAGCTTGCCTGGGCGCAGCCCTGAAGCCCGACCCAACCTCATCTCGAAACTCAGACCCAGTGAAAACGTCGCCAGCCAGACTCTGCCCACACCTGCGGCCGCAGCGCGCTGGGCACCTTGGGAGCTACTTGTCACCGGAAGAGGAGTGGCGGCCTCCAAGCTGCCCTGAAGATCTAGAAGGCTGGAAGCAAAGGAAAGGGACGACGACCAGGGCACGCCTTCGAACAAAAAGCTATGATGACGGGCACCAGCACCGGAAGGCGGCGAACACTCCCAACACCAGTTGAAAGCCAGTGGAAGAGACGAAGAATGAGGCACTGTAGTCCTTTGCCGAAAGAGGATCGGGGCTAAGGACAACGAAATCCTCCCCGGACCCCAGAACACCTAATTATCACCCCTGCCGTGTTACCACCCTCAAAAGCCCCGGACGCAAAACAGATATGGGAGTTATTGAGCGACGTTAACATTAGACCCTAAACCTTAAGAATTCAAGGCTTCTGGCTGCGAGATTGTAAAGACATGGAGCAGTTCCTTTGCATATTGAGTGCACCACGCTGCACAACCGAAACAAAATCTCGACCTCAGCCAAGACCCGCACACCACGAAGGACCAACTGCTGCAACTTGTTAAGCATCGTCTGGTCCTTGCAAATAGCCATTGCGGTGGACACGCACGCGCAACGCGCTGAGATGACCTAGAAGCCAATTCTTAGTGACTGAGTGAAGTCCTCCCAGGCCCTTGCTAAACTTCGTTTTTGCAGACCTGAAACAAGTGCGAGGTTCAAAAGCTTGGCTGCGCCCTTTCGACTGACTGTTGATGGGGCCTTTCACGTATCGAAAGAAAAGCAGGACCTGCATGGGTAATTGTCGCGGTGCTCAAGCCTAAGCCCCCCACAGCCCCCCCCCCCTCCCCCCCAAGACAGTCGACGCTTCAGGCAGCAAAGGGGACAAATTGCATGTTGGTCCTCGTTCTGCTGCCAAAGAAGGCGCAACTCCCCGATGCTCCGGCCTGGTCGAGCCGAGAATTTAGGGGGAAATTGAGGGGATGTGTGTTTTGAGATGTTTAGAGTCTCATCTGGGTCTCGGGCTCTAGGGCATCTCAGTTCTGGGTTTGGGGAGCTCCGGGTTGAGTGCTCGGCGTAGCTGCCCGGCAAGTCGGGAGCTTGGCTGTTGTTGGTTTTCAAGGATCTGACAGAGCAGCAATTGTGTCTAGAGGGCTTCGGGAAGGACACTCCCGAATTCGGCCTCTGAGCCCCTTAATTTTACCTAAATAGAGCTACCCAAAGACCCCAAGCTCTAAACTTCAAACACTCTGCAAGCCCTCCCTAAACCGAAACCTCGTGCCCTTCTGAGATGAGTGCCTTCGTAGCCGCGATCCTGTAGCTCCGCCTGTCGCCGCAACTCGTTCAGGCTTCACGGTTTCCGGTTCGAGCACCCTGACCTAAACCCTAGCCTCAGGGCAGATAGGGGCAGGCAGGTCTTAAGAGCAGCGGAACGGATCCAGCAGCATAGAAAGAGCATACGGAACAAGCCTCGAAGCCCTCGAGAGCTATGCAGAACTCGCCTAGACTGCAAGTCCTGAAGACTGCAATCCGGGAACCTGGAAGATGTTCCAGGCATTCAGCTGCCGCCGCTCCAAGCACTCTAGATATGGAACAGCGTTCGAGAGCTCCTGCCAGGTGTCAGGGGGGTTCAGCGTCATGGAGGCCTTTGTACCGCACAGGCCGTACACGGGGGCAGTGGCCGAATCTCAGTCCTTTCTCTGTGCAGATAGACTCGGTGTAACAGAGCAAGGTCAGAAAATGAACGCGCAAGTGCATGCGTCCTCCACGTGTCTTCGCATGTTGTCCTTCTGCGTTTCCGGCGTCTTCGTGCCCTGAAACAGTGGTGAGGGGAATTTTGCTGCTCGCATCCATACCCACAAACCAAGAAGGTAGAAAGCTCATGTGATGAATACTCGGAACAAAGAGCCCAACTGCAGAAAGCTTGAATGTGCAGCCTCCTTGTCCTTCAGCCGGACCACGTTCGGGTTGTAGGTGAAGGAGTGGTACATGGCTTCCACGCCATAGATCGGCTCGCGAACTCGTGGCTGGCAGACCTGCCATCAGGTCCAAGACAGTGAGGCTTAGAACCTCTTCAAGGCCACCTCCCACCGGCCTTGCTCCAGATCTCCTTCAGGAACATGGACCTTGGACCAGGTCTTAAGGAGATCTCCCGCGATCTGCCACAAAACCAGAACTCCCTTTTGAGTTTGGCGAGGCCTCGGGGTTTGGGTAAAGCTCTGCCTTGCATTGCCTGCCACCTTCGGTTCAGTGTTTGGAAACTGACCATGCTCCTCAACAACCATGGAACACCTTCTCGTGCGACCCCAACACTTCTGGTCCGTTGTAGTTCTTACACTTCAAATGCATTCCTCTGAGGCCCTAATGACCCAAAAACCCAACAACACAAAGGCACCGGGACCTGGACCGAACAGACAGCTGCATCTTCTCCTGCCCATCGGCAAACACCTCAGGGACGCGGGCTTGCCCTTCTGAGGTTCAAGATGGCCGAGTGAACAAATAAGGTGTCTATCAACAGTTCTGGCAGGAATAACCCGGAAGAGACGTAAAACGATCTCAACATTATATACTGAACATTGTTGAGATGTATACTGGAATGTCAAAAGGTATGCTCGGCACCTGCTTCATCTCCGATGGCAACCATCGAGTGAGGACGTGGATCTCGCCCGTGATGTTGGGCGTCAGCTCACCATCCTCTTGCGGATTCTTCTTGTGAAGAGCAGCGACAACCCCAAACACACGAGTGCGGGCAACCAAACACCAGCCTTCACACTGACCAGCGGAAGCCAGAGGTTCTTGAACATTTGGTTGGGGTTCGTCAGGAACTGCCTGGCATGCAGGAATGGAGAGGGACTTGCGCGAACGAGCAAAAGACAAAAGATGCCCATACGGGCCGCAGCTGGGGAGAACAACAGGGACTGTCCTGACACGGCTCACGCCTGAGAGTTTTAGGGTTGCTGCAGCTGGGTTTGTTGCAGCTTGGGTTGCAAAGCATGCCTCATCCTCACCCTCATCGTCGTCATCTTGTATCATCGCCATCATCGTCACTATCGCGAGTGGCACTGTCCGGCATCAGACGTCGCGAGTGCAATGGCATCCCCCGAACCCCCCCCCAGCACTGTGAAAGTCTGTGCAGGGCCGACTCTTCGGTCACCGGCAGCTGGATGACGCCGATGCGGCTCGGGGACATCCCGGCTTTCATCACCTGCGGGGCTTCTCTTAGGGTTGCCTCTGCAGCTTCGAGGTATGTCGAGACTTTTGAGGCTCGGGGCTTGTCATTTTCTATTAAGTGTCAGGAGGGAGGCACCTGTCTTCGCTTGAATGGGTGATAAGTGACAGCTCTCTTCACTGGCCTCGAACTCAATCAGCAGCTTCGGATACTTCTCGGGATCAATCATGCCCGTGCGGAACGTCCAGCCTGGACGGAGATGAGGCTGGACCGAGCCGCTTCGTATACTCCCCGAAACGCAGAGAGCCCTGCCTCCCACGCCTTCCAGCTCAGGCAGCTTCGACCAGCAGGGGCTGTCGGTTCCTGAGATGACCTGGTATGCGCATCAGCCAAGAGTTGCAGCCCCCCCCCCCCCGGAGAGGATCTCGGCTTAAAAATTCCACGCAATAAACACCCTGATTCGAGTGCCGGGCCGGTGAGACTTGCTTGTTCTTTCCGCGGAAAGGGATGACCTGCGGGCAGATGGGTCGTCACTCGTGTAGAAAACAACTGCCACTTCTTGTCGCCGTACGAATCAGGACAGCGGATGTTTGAAAACAGTAGGTCCTACTCGAATCATACCTTGGGACTTGAAGCCAGGACCAACACAAAAACAGGAAACAAAACGCTATCAAAACAGAAGCAACAGCAACATCGAAACAAAACATACTAGCCACATCAACTTCGACGCCGTCATGCCCATCGTAGAAATAGCAGTAGCTAGAGCGCTGTTATGTCCAGGTGGCTGCTCACTTCCACCCGATGTTGCCGGCTTTTGGCGAGATCCCTCTTTGGGGTGGGGGTTGAGGGCTTCATTTACACTGCTGTCTGCGCCCAAACCCTCTACTCACTACCCGCAACCCCCAAAATCAAAAAACAACTTCGGCCATCAGAGTGTTCCCCTAACATGGAGCGCGGAGCTCTACATAGAATGTTGAATTTCACCATGCAGGAGACTTCTTAGTCCTCTTTACAAGGAGGGGGACTTCCGCCCAAGTGCGAAATGACATTTCGGGATTTGGGATCAGTAGCAAAGCGTCCAGGGCCAGCGCCTAACCTCAAGGGCCCCTCTTAGGGCCTCCTTGTTGTGAAGCATGCGGAAGTTGACGAAGGTTCCAATGGAGCTTCCTTCCGGCGTGCCCTTCACCGCCTGCGGGGGCTCAAGATTCCAAGGACCTCTCATCGTTAAGGCTGTCGGGCGTCAGACACTCCAGGAATCAGTTGGGCTCATAAACACTTTGAAGTTGCAAAGACTGCAAATCGCGGTACCCTTGACAGCTCTGGAGACGCCAACCAGAAGACGAACATGAAATCTAAGCTCCTGACAGTCCTGGCAGTCCTTGAGCAGCTCCGAAGATCCCCCCGCCCAACCCAACACCCAACACACTGGACCAGCAAAGCAAGAAAACAAACATCGACACCCCCCCAAAAAAAAACTCCCGAAAAGCGCCCGAAGAAACCGCCGGGCCCTTGCCTGGCCATCCGTGGTGCCCAGGAGCTCGGGCCTTGGCAATGGGAGGTGGGGGCTGCTGGTTTTCGGCTCGGAAAACCTTTCGAAAAAACCCCCCCCCAATTCTCCCCCCTTGTGGCGACCCCATAAGCATGCTGAAGGCCACAGAGGGACGTCGTCTCATAAGGCACCCACCGACCCCACCGCCTTCCTCAGCCTCTGGCAAGTAATTCGCATCGACCATCTGGTTGGACTGCGACGGATCCACGTCGGAGCGGCCCTTCGACCACCTCGGAGAACAAAGCCAGGGCTCTTTCGGCTGTAGGTTTAGGAGGTTGAGGGTTTAGAGTTTAGGGTTTAGGGCTTAGGGCTTAGGGTTTAAGATTTCGGGGTAGGGTTTAGGTGTAGCCAGGATGCGCTCGAAGGACTTGGAGTTCAAGGTTTCGGGGCGCAGGGTGGACAGCGTTCTAAAGCCGACCTTGAAGGGTAGGATTTGACCGAAGCGCGAGCTTCGGTCTCTTCAAGAGTGGCAAACACCAGAAGTTGACAAAGGGGGGGGATCCCTCCCACCTCCAACCTGCATTCGGCGGCCCGACACCTTAAACCCTACATAACCCTACACCCGAAAATCCGTAAACCCTGCTTGGGGCCCCGGCGACTCATAGAGTGTGATGGGGTCCGACGTGAGCACGGTGTTGAGAGCCGACTGCCTGAGTTTCGAGTCTCCCAGGTTTGGTTTTTTGGGTTTTAGGGTTTAGGTTTTCGGGTTTTCGGGTTTTTGGGTTTTTGGGATTTTGGGGTTTTAGGGTTTAGGGGTTTAGGGGTCTAGGGGTTTAGGGGTTTAGGGGGTTTAGAACTCAGAGGCTATCGGGGCAGCAAGCATTAGGATCTGCTCAGGAGGGGGTTCAGTTCAACCTTGTGACTGGGCTTCGGGCTGAAATTTACGAAGGCAACATGTTGGCATCCGGGCCCCCAAGACTTCCCCAAAGAATCCTGGAAATGTCAAACGAAGCTCAAAACAACCCTGAAATTCCCAAACCCACCACCAGGCGCTCTTGCCGCCGCGGTACAAAGGTTGCAGCCGCCGGGCCTCCACCAGCAGCACCTTGGGAGGAGAGGCGCTCTTCTTGGGCTTCAAGGGGAGGCTTTTCGGGGGGAAAGTCGGGCCATCGGCCTTTCGGTTGAAAACCCACACCCTCGAACAGGTTTCGAAGCCTTTTCTTCAGTCGCACCTTACCCAACAATGCCAAACAAAGCCCACCACACCAGGGTCCCACACGTCCAGCTGGCCCCCGGTCTTGTGCAGTCCAGGGTGGCGAATCTGCATTGGGGTCGAGATCCTCGAAGGCTCCGTCAGCAGAAGCAATAAAACCCTAAAGTTCCAGCCCTATCCGCGGGTGCTGAGATTGTGTTTACAGGTCTGCAAGCTGTTGGGAAAGCAGGTCCGGCAAGTCAACCATATTGGCACTGAACTCTCCCTAAACCCCCTGCAAGTTCGCGTGCTCACGTGGTTGTTTCAAGGACCTTGCATGGGCTGTGGTAGAAGGCAAACGCGGCAAAGGACGAGCTTTCCATGAGCTGGCATAGCTGGCTGACTTGGTACTACGAGCAGTGCACGAAAAAACTGCGGCTTTGGAAGCTCAGAAGCCTGAAAGTAACTGTGCAAGACTTAAATTCCCTCCACCCCAACTCATTCGAAGCCCCCCCCCCTCAGATTTTAAGGCTTCAGGCTTGTGACACTCCGTGGGGCATTCTTAGATTGGCTGTGCTCCTTCTACAGGTACAAAACAAATGTAGGGTTGTGGGTTTAGGGTCAGCTTGGGTTTGCTTGCTTAAGGGCTTCAGCCACAAATAGATCTCTTCAGCGCTCTTTCATGCAGAAAAGAATCTGGGTTTGCTTCTGGTACTCCATCATCTTCAAGGCCTGCAGGCACAAAAATAGCGGGCTTCGTGTTCAGTGTTCATGGTGGCTCATTCATACCTGAACACCCAGACCCCACAGCAACCGCGAAACCAACAGATTTCTGGGTTCGCCACTAAGCGGCACTAAGCCCTGACAAGGTTGCCACTCCGACTGATCCCCCCACTTTAGAGCTCGCCTGCTGGTAGTGGTCCACGCGCACACACTTGCGGACCATGGCCACGAACTGATACATCTCGTACCTCAACTCAACTCAAACCGTCAGTACATCTCGTACCTGCCATGTGTGCCCCTTCAAGGACGGAAGCCCCAGGATGCATTGAGGGGCGCTTTTTTTGGGCCGCATTTTTGAGTTCTCAAACTGCAAATTGCCCCAAGTTGCCCCAAATTGCCCCACACCCCCTACACACCCCAGCGCCTGGCGCCCTAAACTCGGCTAAGCCCAGTAGGCTCCCTTTCTTTTCGCACGCTCCAAGGCCCGGGCTCGCTCGGGAAGCGCACCCGGACCTCTTTTCCAGGGCGGGGCGAGGGGGGGGGTTCAGGAATTCGGGTGGGCTCCAGGCGTTGAACTCGTACAAGCAGGCCGACGTGCTGGCATCGGGCGGCAGTGGACCAGCCGCAAGCTTGTACCTTCAAGGCATGGGCACAAGCTGAAAAGCCCCGGCCGGAATGGGGTGTGGCAAAGGGCTCGCTGCAGCGGAAAGCTGAGTCGCTCGCTCCAGGTAGTCTTTCTTTGCACCTTTCCTTGGCCAAGCAACAGGGCACAGCATCCAACTCCAATGTCGCACAGAAGGTACCAGGGCGGGTGTACCAAAACACAAGGCAGCCTCAGGCTCCGGCTGTGCAGCCTGGCAGCATGCAGCGCCCTAAAGCCTAAGGTGGCCTAACGTTGTAAGGACCAAGATGAAACAGCCATGGTCTTAAGAAACCCCAATAAATATCACCACCCAGCGCTGCAACCCTGAACCTCAGCAACCCCGACGTTGAAAGAGATGTCTAGGCAAGAGACAGGGCAACTCAAGCCAACAAAACGCCAAGTCTCCCCGTTCCCCCTGCTCTCCCCAACAGCACCTCATACGAGCGAGGGTCAAACTCGTTGACAGCTGGTGGCGCGTTGATGACGTCCGAGGTGGTCTTGTACCTCAGCCGAGCGCTGAGATTCTGCTTGATGGATGGTTTGGAGGCAAATCTGCTTGTGGGAATGAATCTGCCCGGGCCCATCACAAGGCATCGTAGACATTCACGCCGGAGTAGTGCACCGCACCTTGCACTTTATTTAGGGCTGAGGGCGTCAAAAGGCCTATTAGAGGATTGCAAACAACCTTCAAGCTTCTGTAGTTGCATAACATGGGTCTCCGCAGGCCTTGACTTTGCAATGATTTAATCGATGTTCGGTAGCACGTGCCAAGAGCATAACTACTACACTTTAGATGGTGGTGTCCAGCAGAAACGATGTGCTGCCGCGCCCTCGAATGAAAGGCTTTCCTCAAGCATTCGCACGGGACCATTGCACTCGAAACTCCAGTTCTTTTGCAAGCACAACGGTAACCCCTGCAACGTCTAAACAAAACGATTGCCAAGAACGGGGGCACGGCGCAATGCGAAGAGGACTACAAAGATCCCCTACGCTGACACAGTCAGACCGTCAGTTGTGTACTATCTGGGCCCATACGCGGAAAGAAAAACTCATGCGCTCATGCGCTCATGCACTCATGCATTCCTCATTCATTGTCAACCAGACTGCCGGGTGCCCGGGCTCAGGAGGATTGTGGGCACCTGCCTGAGGATGAACCGTGGGGTCGCCGTCTCGCCTTCCTTTGCCTTGCCTGCCGACTTCTCCAGCTTGCCCGGGAAGGCGAACCTTGGCCAAAACTTGGCTTTGGACTTGGCTGTGCAACTTGACTTACCGGGAAAATGAAGCAGCGACCCGAGATGAAAACCTTAACAAATACCCCACCACCCACATCCTCGCACCTAGAGTGGACACTTTTGGCAAACTCTGAACTCTCGTGAGCGCTCGGCTTGCGATGCTTCTGCTCCTGCCACTTCTTGACGAAGAGCTCGGTGACCCTGGGTTGGATGGGTTTAAAGGCTTAGGGCCTGGAAATCTTCTTGATGATTTGCAGGGGTGGTGAAGGAGAGAAGAGTGGATGACTCCAGCACCCAAACGCAACCTCGCACTGCCTTAACCGCTTCACCTGCTTGACGCTCAAGGGAAGGGCTCCCGAAAACTCTACCGGGCTACCGGACGCCGGAGACCCTGAAAACCCTCAGGGCCCAAGACCCCCAAAGCTCCGCCAAGAGGCTCCACATCACACGTGGTGCCGTTGCCATTGTCCGCGTACATGGCGAGGACCGTCACCGGCACATGCCGATTCATGTGCGTCAGGTGACTCACCTAGGACTGTGTGTCCGTGAAGGAGGGCAAAGCTCTCTTGAGGGTGGTCCCCTTCCATGCTTTGGACTGTCCGTTGCCAAGCTAGGAAGCGCAAAGACAGGGACTGAAAAAACTTCTCCCTGGAGATCCTCCTGACCCCCACATCCTCCTCTCAACAATCTCAGAAACGAGAAGCAACAGAAATACAGCAAGAAGGAATTGCAGCGCGCCAAAGCCCGACTGCCAAGGGCTCTCTGAGGCCGCGACAATGGGCTTGTTGGGGCCAGAGCGGTATGGAAGCTGATCCCGGAGGTCAGACCCCTGAAAGAGTTTGAGGGTGGGAGTTTAGGCTTTAGAGCTTGGGGCTCAGGTCCCGGGTCGAGGGATAGAGAATGGTTAGAGAGTTTGCAGCGGGGTCCGGAGGAAGCTCTTCGACGGATGAGGTGTGATGGAGGTTCCGGTCTATGACTCTTCCTCAGTGCACTGAGTCATGTGCCGCATCTCTGCCAGGCAGCAGTCACAATACCACAAATATGCACATCTAGAAGTCAAGAGAAGGGGGGGACTGAGCGGAATATCAAGCTCAGATCACGGAACCTCGCGCAATCCAACTCTTGGGGCCCTGGCTGAACGCTTGGCCATGTCATCCATGATGCGACCGAAGTAGCCGGGCTTGTGCTTATCCTGCAGAGTTGCCAGGGCTCATTCCGGGCTCATTGTGGGTTTTGGAACGGTGCTGTCAGGGTGCTGTTACTGGGGTACAGGGGGTCGTCACCGTTGTCAGAATCCGGCCCTCGCACCCTAAACCATCAAAACCGGGACCATCGGTCCAGGAACTCTTTCTCCGTCAGGGGCATGACCTGGGCTCTGAGATGCAGTCCGCGCACATGCAAAGCACGCATTTCGCGGGGATCTGTTGCAGATGCAAACCTATGCGACAGGCTCAGGCTTCTGCAAATACCTAATGTACATGTTAGGTATGCATGTACCCGTGCGTTGTCTCTATGCGTCCGTTAGCTATCATTGATTGACGTACTTGATGACTCTTGTATGCAATTATCCAAGGTCAACGGGCGGGAATACAGTCTGAACCGATTCGGCGGGCAAGGTTTCAGCTTTCATGTTTGGTATCAGCCGATGGGTGCAATATGGTGCAATCTTTACCAAAGATCCTGAACTCCATCTTGGAGCCTTCACTGACATCTGGGAGCCTTCACTGAACCCGATGCCAGATAGAAAAGTTCCGGACCGAATGCCGGAATCACCCCCTCCCCCCCCCCCCACCCTCCAAATCCAGAACCTCGACACCCCAAACCTCACCGAGGCTTCACAGTCCGGAAACGCAAGCACAACCTTGGCCCAAGAATACTGGGCCATCCACCCTCCAGCACGAAGGCAAGCCCCCAAAACCCGCCCCCAAGTGAAGAAGGCCCCTTAGAAGCCTCTAAAGCCCCTAGCAGCCCCTCAAGGCGAAGCAGGCCCTCCCACATACTTGTGGGGGATGATGTCGTCGCAGAAGGTTGGGATAAAACTCCTGGCTACGCAGAGCTTTCAGGGTTCATTTTAGGGTTGCATTTCAAGGGCTTTTGGGCTCAGGGCTGAGGGTTGCGGGAAGGCTGCGCGCAAAAGATGCAAACATGCCGGCCAGTGCTGCTTGAAGGGCCGCTTCGGCACCTGCAAGGAGCACAAAACAAAAAAAACTGTAGCTTCCGGAGCGTGTTTGGGGCAAAGCACGCGGTCGGGTTTGGCATTCAGGCTCTGGACCGTCAGATCGGGAGTGTAAACCGAGACAAGATCCCAAGGCGCATAAGCTGCACATTTCGAGCTCCCCCACAAAGACTACATTACTGCATTCCAAAACCCATCATTCCACCCCCTGACCCCCCCCCCCGACCGAAAGCTTCTGACAAGCGGACGACTCAGAAGCCCTAAACCGGCAGAATCTTCACCCCGAACCCTGCACAACTCTGTGCCAAAGGGCCAGATCGCCAAGCCCGCTCTCGGCGTACTCACTGCTCAAGCAAGGCTCACGAAGGGGAACGCCGGGCGCCGGCCACTCCTACGACCGTGGGCCAGGTTCAGGAATCCTCAAGAGGGAGTTGGAGCACATTCAACCCTTTGGACATTCCACACGACACAGGTCTTCGAGTTTTAGTGCCGGGGGCCCAGGACGGGGCGCTGGAGGGCTTTTCGACTCCTTCAGCCTCCCGGATCCAGGTAGGTAACGGTCAAGGCAGGAATTCAGATCACCAGGGTGTAGGGATCCAGGGTTGCAAGGATGAAGTTTTTGGGCTGCTGGGCGTTCGAGCATCCCTGCACCACAAGCCTACAGTACCGTACTTAACCCTGACTGAATTGGATCTACTGATCCCTAAACAGCCCTAACCCCTTCCTCAAGCCCTCACTCACTGTGGTTCCTTCTTGTTCTTTGCGAAGTCGCCCACGCAGAACTGCTTTCGGAAATCGCTTGGGTCCTTCGGGTACTGGAAGGGCCTCGGCAGCTTCGGGGGTGAAAAGTGGTCAAGGATTACGGTCGCCTCCAAGGGCCTCACACTGGCTCACGGGTAAAGGGGGGCATCTCAGTTTTTCAGGCTTTGGCCACAAGCTCAACTGCAACAAGACGGCTGAACATCTGTTTCGCATACTGGCTGAATACTGCCTAAGTACTGGCTGAATACTGGCAACTCTGCGTGGGCGCGTGCGACGTGTGACACGTAGGCAGAAGCGGCCGAGGCCTACCGTTCAGGCACACGTGGTCGTGAGACGCAGCTCCTAGACCTCCCTAACTTGTGCCAACTTCCCATGAGCGCCACGCTCCTCCACGACAAGCATGGCCTGCGGATGGGTTTGGGTATGAGGTGAATGTCTGAGCTTGGTTTGCCTGCAAGACTCCTCGGGCCCACAAGGTGCAGAGTTCAGGGTTTCGAGTCAAGAGAGAGAGGCTATGCGGACCCAACCTGCACTAGTTTAGGCTGGCCTTGGGCTCAGATTCCGAACCATGGGTCGGCTTGAGGTGAGCAAGTGCCGGCAAATCCCAAATACCCGCAGTTGAGTTTCATCCCCACCTTATCGCCGATGCACAGCGCGCTTCGGTGACCGGGCTGGCCCATGACTGCCTTGGCCAGCAGCTCTCACCCTGCATATGCAGCCGTTTAAGTCAGGGTTTAGGGGCAGGGTTCGCCCACCTGTCTCGTGGTTGTGGGTTCTGGGATGAGGAGGTCTTCGAGCGTGAGGACGGCCGACTCTATTGATACAAAACCGGATTGCAAATGCAGAGCTCCCAGGCCGTGCTGGGTCAACCTCAAACATCCACCCACAAACCCGATGCCCCACACCCAAGAGCACCTCCGCAGAAGGTGCACACTCTTGGTTGCTGTGGTCGAGGCAAAGCTTCTCAGGAGCCTAGGGGCCCCCACTCTGGCCTGATCCCGGTCCCGCAAGGCGAATTCCAAGCTGAGCATGCCCTGACAGGATGGTTTAGGGTTTAGGGTTTAGGGTTTACGGTTTAGGGTTTGGGGTTTAGGGTTTAGGGTTTAACACCCGGGCCCTCAAACCCTCAAATTCTTTCGGCAGCTTCCAAAATGGCTCGGCGCAACGGTCAAATCCCGCGCCCACATCTGCACCACCGGTCTACTGAGTCTACTGCCCTGCGAATCTGCCTGCGGCGCTGTTGAGCCAGTGGCTGAATCGTCCTTCGCGGCTGGGCGGAACACATCGACCTGGCATCGAGGCGGGACACGAAGGCCCTAAGCACTAAGGGCCCAAACGCAAATCCTACATCCAGCGTTTCTGGCGATGTGGCTTTTGGGCGGGCCTGAGGTTTCCAGCCCAGAGCTTGAAAATCACAAGGGGGGCTTGGAATTTGCGCCCCTACGGTGGTCTATTTCACCTGCATCAAGCATAAGAAAATTCGGACAAACACTACCAGGAATGAAACTGAATTATGTTTGCAGTGAAACTAAAGCACAAGAACCTGGTTCTTCCAACACGGCTCAGCATGTACATGTACCCACTCCTGCCATGGAGGAAAAATGCACTGAAGCCGGCATCAAGCCCCAACTTCTTTCGTACAATCGGCCCAGATCTACAACTGCTTCAGCAAGATGTTGCGCGAAGAAACCCCAGAGGCCCTGGGCCTCCATCCCCCGCTGCCTCAAGCTCCAAGCCCCAAAGATCCTGCAATGGCCCTGACACGAAAACCCAAGCCACAAAAGTATGAAGACCTGCGTCGGACTCCGAAGACTCACCGCATCCATCAAGCACAAACTTGAATGCACAGCAACCTCCCGCACAGGTTGATCAGGCTGTGTGAGGAACAGGCCCAGCTGCTTCTGCATGTCCACCAGCCTGAGCCGGAACGGACACTCCTATCTGACTACTATGTGAACAGCTTGGGACTTACAACGGTCGCACAAACTCAAAAGAACACGCTTCGGGTGGCAGGGTCATAGAGGAAGACAGGCTGGGCACCCGGCATGTGATTGTCGAAGGTAAGAGCGGCCTAGCTCGAACACAACGTGCACAGTGCGCTGCTTGGTCTGAAGGCGTGCCTTGAACTTCACCGTCTCGGTGTACGTGTTCTTTGCAGTGCCCGCCGTGCTGGCGAAGCTGTCAAAGTCCATGGAGGAACCGCCATCCTTGCTGCTCACCTTGACGACCTCGCAACATCTCCCAAGAGCGCGTGAGAATCGTAAGAATGCCGTTTAGGGTCCGGGATGGTCTGGGCTTCGGTGAAGCAGGCATGCAAGGGCGGGACAAACTGAATTTCCAGCTGTCCCAGGCTTGCCACCATTGCAAGCAATTCCTACCTGTCCTAGCTGTCTGAAAAGTGCTCGGGAGGCACCAAATGCCAACCTTTGCGTCATGAAGCATTCTGGAAACGCAACGAACGAAAAACAAAACGAATGAAATGGAAGACCCAAGCGAAGGCCTCCAGCTGCACTTTGCGCATCTGCTTCCGCTGCTCGTCGTTGCTGGCCCAGCATCCGGCCGGTAGAGGGATCAGGAGTTGCTGGCCTGCTCCGGAAGCGCGTTTTGTCAGGGAATTTAGGCTTCGATGTGTGGTGAGTAGTGTTGATGTGCTTCTTTGGCTCATGGCTTCGGGCCTCGGGTTGCGAGGTTCTGGGGTTTGGGGTTGATGCGTCTTGCATGTGCATGGATGCTAAGAATGGGTATTTCACCTCCTCACAGTTCACCCTACGATCTTTGGACTTGGCTTCAACATTCCTTCGCTTTCGCCGCAAGCAGTAGACCACACTCCACCAAAAATTTCCAGCAGACAAAATGGCCTTCGAAACGAATCTGGCCGGGGTCGACCAGATGGGATGGCAGCCTCATGTCATGGACCGTAGGCTTAGGTGCCTGATTGGCGTTTAGGGCCAAAGTTTAGGGTTTAGGGTTTAGGGCTGAGGATTTAGGATTTCGGCCCTCCTATGAATCATGGGAGTGAACGGATGTCTGTAAGAGCCCGACGTCATTTGCATAATGGGACACCTATCGAAAAGATGGGAGCCTTGAGTCCCTCAAGTGCCGAAACAATCGAAAAAGGAACCCGGTGCTTGATTAGACCATTCTCATTTGCCTTGTCAAAAACCGACTTCATGAGTTCATGAGGACCGGGTTCAGTGAGCCGCCACAAAGTACACTCCAACCACTCGCGGAGGCCTTGATGTTCACGTTCAAGGAGGATCCTAAATTGTAGTGCATCGTACCAGGAACAGCTAATGGGACCCGAGACCTTGAGCCCTCAACTCCTAAACCTTGAACCCTCAACACTCAAGATGTGAAAGCAGACTGAAATCCTAAACCCCCACTAGGTCTGAGGGGGGCAGTGGTAGTGGCCACCCCTCTCAGAACCCAACACCTTGGACCAGCTGGGATTCGACCGGTGGAGGGCCTCAGCTCTTGCTTGAGGGGGTTGAGGGTTTACGGCTGAATCTCGGGCTTAGGGCTTGGGAACCTATTGCTTATGCTTGGTATGAGGGCTGCACATTCAAGCCCAAATTTTACACAGGACCCCTCGAGCAAAGCTCCAACACTCGACCCTCGCAAGGCACGACGACGGTTCTGCCTACTGTTAGAGAAGCATCTGTGACATGTGCAAATACCTGCTGCATGCCACTGTCACTGGTTCTCGGAACACGGGCCGTAAACTCGATTCCCAGACCATATACACCACAGCTTGCCATGGCTTGCACAGCTCCCTTGACCCTAGGTAAGTACCGGATGAAATGCATTGTCGGCGCCATTACCCTTACGAAAACTTCCTAGACTTCAGTGATCCGGCGCATGAAGACAACTCCCTCTTCACACGTTGCTTGGTTCAGCTATGTCACGTTTTTCCATTATTGGAGATCCGATCATGTCGCTGAGGCCCCCGACGGAGCTGGTTACCGTGACCCCGCAGATGTTAGCACGTACGTAGTACGACGATTTCTCCTGGCTGTGGCTCTATAGGCAGACAGTCGATGCCAAAGGTTCTGCTAGAGAGTCTCTACTAGAGAGTTGAAGCAGCGCTGCAACAGCTTCTCGCCAAAAGGCGTAGCAGCGTAGCAATCTCAAACGGGCAGCTATGCTTTCTTATGCTAGGGGGGGGGGGGAGCCTCTGCAGTAGGATGGGTTTGGGGGGGATACGGGGGGGATTCATGCAGGGTTGGAAGGAACGTCGAGGCTACGAGACCTGAAGCCACCCAATAATTTCAGCAGGAAAAGGCGTGGGGCGGTTGTGGGGGAGGAGGCTCCATTTGCACAAAGCTCCAAGGAGGGGTTGTAGGCAGTGGACGCGCTTTTCCTTTTGCTGTGGCCGTCGGGTTCGACGGGTTCTTGATGCGAAGGCCTGCTACGCCTGGCGCATCCTTTTTGCTTGGGATGTTTTGTTTTTTGCGCCCCCGGCCCCCCCATTTGCACACCCAAAGCTCGTAGGATGGGTTTGGAGAGGATTCATATACAGGGTCAGAAGGAATATTCATTGATGGTGCTGCAAATAAAAAAGCGCAGCCCCCCCCCCTCTATTTGCAAACACAATGCTTGTATGATTCGATGTAAGTCTGCATGGCGGACAAGACTGGGAGGGGTGGGAGAAGGCGGGGAGGCCCCCCACATTTGCAAACACAAGGCTCATAAGTTGGAATTGGACAGGATTCAATCTGGGGTTGGCTGGGAGGAGCGGAGGTTTGGACAGGCTCACTCACTCACTTGCTGGCCGGCCCTGGGTCAAGCGTGTTTTGTTGTTTTTGTTGCTGGGGACTAGGCTCGTTTTTTGCCTTAACAAAATAGCCTCCACAGACAAATTTTATTTTTTAATATATATATATATAGATATATATATATATATATGAACAAAACAGGCCCCAAACGGTGGGATAACTGAGGCACCCCGGAGCATGGGAAAAAAGCGGCCGCAGGTAAGAGTTCTTGGAAGGACTTCTGGGGCACAGAGAGAGTAGTGAAGAGCAACAGTCCATCTCAAACGAAGGGCTGCTTGTGAAGTGAAGGGCGTCGGGCTTAAGGGTGTTCGATCCCTGGATGCACCTCGGCATCGGTCCACTTGTCAGAGATCGGGAACGTTAAGGAGGAGAGCTTCAGCTCGACGTAATTCGCCACATGGTCCGGGCCTCTCATCTCTTCTCTGCAACTTTGGGGGCTTGAGGCGTTCGATCGGGCCATGTATGTGACACATTACGCTGTGTTGCATTGTGCAGTGTAGTATAGCATAGAATCTTTTTTGTGCTACATGAAAATGTACAATATTCGATGATGAAACTTTGCTTCATATGTCCTAACTTTTGTTGAAACAGATGTGGGCTCTGGTGTGGTGGGCTGTGAAAAATCGTGATTATCTTGAAATGTCTTTTTCTGCACCCATATCATATTGCAGAAAATTGCCATGTACAATACAATGCAGTATAAGTTCACATTCTATTGAACTTATACTGCATTGTATTGTACATTTGTAACTGTATATTCTTCTTCCAACAGACCATCTACATTGACATGTATTGATTGAGCCCTATTAAGCTGGACAATTTCCTCCCATGCCATCATATGCGCAGATCAAGAAGGTGACATCTCAAATCAACCCCTACTACAGAGAACCAACAAGAGTCAGATGAACTTTACCCCAAACCTCCAGCAATGCTTTCACTGGGCCCCGGGCGGAACTTGCCGGCCCCCAGGCCCGGGTCGAACCAGGCCTTGCGAGAGTCCCAGGCGTCGATTGTCCGACACCGAGCACCGAGTGACTAACTCGAGAACTCAAGCACTCAAAATTAAGCAGGCTGGGGGAGGCCGGGGGTCTGAGGAACCTTCCAGGCCTCGCGTTGTGCGGAAAAATTGAGGTGTGCTCGTGAGGACTTCGGGATTCGTTTCAGGGCCTTTTACAGGGCTTGGGAGTCCGTAGTGTTAGTATTTCGAGATTCAGGGCATGGCCTCGTGGGTTTGACACAGAACTTCGGTCAAGCCAGTTCAAAGTCCCGCCCTCCAGCGCAGTCAGCTGCGCAAGCTCTCGGCGTCGGACCGCCCGATTGCAGGAATACAGCGTGGTGTTCACCCCGCCTCATACAAGATTGGGGGCACAGAGTGAGCGCAGGCTTTGTGCCGGCTGGCCAAGGAGAATAGAGTCTGGCACTCACCACCGAAGCAACCTGAAGTCAGGCTTGAGGGCCGGGTCGAAACACGAATCCCATGCAAACCCCTGAAGTGAAAGAAGCCCTCTTGCCTCCCACCAGCTCTGGTGACACGCATGGCATGAGCTGCTGCGCATCACCAATGGGAACCTCAGTGTGGGGGTCTTTCAGAAGCAGCACAGGGGAGCAGGGGGAGGTGGCATACAAGACGTTAAATGCCTTGAGGACTTGCTTTTGACAACTAGGTCTGCCAAGGAGCTAGCTTTCGTGACAGATGTGTCCAGTATAAACAACAGTCTACTCTTAGTCGGTTGAGACAGAACACCTCGTCACAGAGGTATTGTCTTAAGGACTCGGGACATGCTTCTGAGTAAGTCAGATTGCACTCACTTATGCATCGGCGATGTGGCGCTAGGATGACTTGAACTTAGACGAGAGAGGATAAGGTCTCTGCTTTCCTGTTGGTGTGAAGCTGAGACCTCAACAGATTTCTGCTCCTTGACGTGAGAGCAGGTAATGTCAAGATCCGCGGCGACCTGGCACTACCGGAGTCGTTGTCCCCATCAAGACTGCTACAGATAACCTGACTTGGTTCCAGGACAATCTTATACATGTGCGCGTGCATGCATGTGTCACTTGTCGAAACTCTCGGATCGTACACTGGCGATCGCAGCATTTCCTTTCTTCAGACGTGGTCATCCACAGACTGCCCCGAATCTGGTGTTGCACGCAGTGCTGAGCACCTGTGGCCAGGTTCGCGACCCATGCGTATGCCAGGCATCCGTTTGGACACAACGTCCACAACGTCCACTGCGAAAGGCTGTAGTTTCCACGGCGCATCCGTGCCCAAACGACGGTTATGTGTGGGCTATTTGCGCATTCGTTGCCTACTCCATGCATGACTCAATGATACGAGCAACAACGAGCACGCTACCAACCCATCTGTTTTCGACAGCTCACATACCAAACTACGACAGCGTCTTGAAACCACAGCGCGTCCACGCTGCAATATGAAACTTCATCTGATGATTGCCTGGAGGGACATGTTCGAGAACACCCGCGCAAGCCAAAACTGTTCAGTCTGCAGCACCACATCTGCACCCTGTGCTGTATGCGTGAGGTTGTGCTTTGCTCAACTTCTGAGCTTCAGAGGCTGTGCGCACATACTGGCATGCCCAAAAGGACACCCAATACTTCAATACACTCAGCCTCACATATTGTATGTTTTCGACACATATGCATCAATAAGCCCTACCTTATACGGAAATGTGGTTCAGCGTACAACTGGGCCCACTCTGGGCGCGTCGGGCTTGATCTGCTGTAGGCCCAACAACATAGCCCGTCGCCTCACCTTCTCAAACACCTGAAGACCGGGCCTCCTCTTCCAGCGCCTTCTCTTTCACTTTGTCCTTGTCCTCTGTCTTTGCCTGGGGCGATGCACCTGCCACTCGCGAAGTGGATTAGTTGGTTGGATTGGGTGGGTGAGTGAGAAAGAACAGAGACAGACAGAGAGAGCGAGAGAGAGAGAGCGAAGAGAGAGGAGAGAGAGAGAGAGAGGGAGGGTGAGAGCGAAGAGAGGAGAGAGAGAGAGAGAGGGAGAGAGAGGGAGAATGGAGACAGAGACGAGAGAACAGAAGACATAGAAGAGAGAGAAAAGACACAAGAGAAGAGCGAGAAGAGAGAAGAGAGGGAGAGAATAGAGAGAGAGAGAGTGAGCGAGAGCAAGAGAGCGAGAAAATAACGGCGAGAAGACCGAGAGACAGCGAGAGGGAGGGAGGGAGAGAGAGAGAGCGAAAGAGCATGCAAGGCTAGGTTCTCGGGGCCAATGCACAAAACGCCACAAGAAAGTCTATGCAAATCAGGCTTTGCATTCAACCCCAGACTCTGTAGACTTGCCCTAAAACTTCCGATCCTCATAAGCGCGCCTGGGCGGAAGAGTCTGAGCTGTTCCACCTTGGCCTGGCCAAGGAGTCTCAGGTTCCCGAAAACCACCAATGAACCAAACCCTGTAGGCGCGAGAACCTGTTTGAACCCTACCAGGTCGGCAAGTCTGCCTCTTGAGGTCTACCCTGGCCCACAACAAGCATCCAACCCATTGACTGCTTTATCCCTTGTTGAGATTCCGGGGCCTTTGCGGCTTGGCGGCTTTGCGGCTTCTGCAAGATTTGAGAACTTGCGCGGTGTAAGGACCTAAATCCCAAACCCTTCAAGCCCGAAAAACTGCCCAAAAACAGCTCCAAACTCAAAGTAGAAGAATCCCGCGAACCCGCCAAACAAACATGAAGAAATGCCCCCAAGCTGTAGGTCTCCTTGTTCTGCAGCGTCTGGTAGAACTCCAGCGGAGAGCCGTCCTGCCAAGGGCTCAGGGATCTGCGAGGATCTGCGGATCGGCGGTGTAGGAACATAGGGAGACATTCGAAGATGCCACTATGCCTTCCCGTGCCTTTTTTCTTGGGTTCTTGCATGGTCCATGCTTGGTTGGTTCTGGTTCGATATGTTCCACTGCGAAGTTAGACCCTGAAGCCTAAAATATTCCTTTTGCGACCCCTAAGCCCGCGAGAGCTCGTCGCCAGGTTTCAGGGAAATTGGGGGTTTCACTGAGCTGCCTCCTTGGGCGTGACGTTGAAGAGCGTCGTGAGCGACTCACAGCCGGCGTAGAGCAGTCGCCGGCCCTGCACGAGTGTTGCCCGGTCTCGGACTCGAGGACTCAAGCTTGCTATGCGTATGCTCCACTTCCTCTATCTATCTATATACATACATACATGCATACATACATACATGCATACATACATATTCTATTACATACTATATTGCATTTTCTATTGCATAATCACCACATATAATCTTATAATATATCTTTATGTGTATAGCAGAATCATGCAGGTGCACAGATCCTGGGCCCTCGAGCCCTGCTTTCCCCCCACCCAGCATGCCTCTTTCACGGACGGATCGGAGGCTTCCGCAACTGAAACGGTCACACTGTCACCTGGCATGCCGGCTTCTTCCTGACCCTGAGACCGAATCTGAGGGCCAGAATGTAGTAAAGGAGGGCTTGGGGCCTACAGAAATTAGTCACAAGCACACGTTGTGAGTTGTCAGATCCAAAACGTTCACACCACAAACCAACCCACGTGTCAGAAAACCCTCAAATAAGCCTCAAGAGTCCCTGCAAAACACCTCAATGATCCTGAAGCTTCAGTTGCACAATAAACACGGTTTATTCACGGAAGGCGCGCCTGCGGACGGATCCCCCGAGGTGATCTGGTAGTCCTTTCCGCGCACCTGGGGTCAAGGTGGACATCAGGGGTTAAAAGTCCCAGCTCAGACTATTGGCGACCAACACCACGCACTAGCACCGCTGTGGGCGCACGACGATGGTTGGACAAGGTAAATGTTAAAGCAAAGGTTCATTTGGGAACACAAACGACGGTTTCCAAGACACGGGATCAAGCAACTAGAGCTCTCATACCAAACCAGCATACTTCTTAAGTCACGCACCCCAGATCAATCTTCCTATGTCTTTTCTTGACTATTTGCATCTACTTGTGCTTTGTCTTTCTCACTTTCTGACTCAATTTGAAAGAGCAGCGCACGGACTCAAGCCGGGAGGGGTTTCCCGACCTGAGCCAAAATGGCTGTGGTCGCGCACCCTCTCTCTCTCCCCTTGTCTTGTTGTTCCTCCTCCCCTTCCCCTGCCCCCCTCCCTTTCCCCTTCCCCTTCAACTTCGCTTCGCTTTCTTTCCTTCCTTCTTTCTTTCGTTTTCTTCTTTCTTTCCCTCTTTCTTTCTCTCTGAAGTTCTCTCTTTCTTTCTCTCTCTCTCTCTCTCTCTCTCTTTCTTTCATTCCTTCCTTCCTTCTTTCTCTCTTTCTTTCTAGGAGGCTTGAGGGCACAGAGCCCCCGCGCAGTCTGCGCGCCCCAAAGTTTGTGACACGGTTGCCAGCAGACCCAAGAGTCAAGGGGTGGGCAGATATCACACTTGGTTGCTTTACCCCTCTCTCTCGCTTCTTGATTTCTTTCTTTCTTTCTATTCTCTATCTCTCTCTGTCTGTCTCTCTATCTTCTTCTGTTTCTTCTTCTTCTTCTGCAGGGCTTGAAGGACGCGCAAGCACGCCCTCCGCGCACGAGGCGCGCCCGGTTCGTGGTCCAGTCGTGAGACATACAGCGCCGATGAAAGTTTCCCCGAACCACCCCACAACTATCCTATGGGAAATAACACCAGACCGTTTCTTCAGGGCTTGAGGCGGCTGTTGCCCCTCTCTCTCTTCTCTTCTCTTCTCTTCTCTTCTCTTCTCTTCTCTTCTCTTCTCTTCTCTCTTCTCTTCTCTTCTCTTCTCTTCTCTTCTCTTCTCTTCTCTCTTCTCTTCTCTTCTCTTCTCTTCTCTTCTCTCTCTTCTTCTCTTCTCTTCTCTTCTTTCTCTTCTCTTCTTCTCTTCTCTTCTCTCTTCTCGTCTCTTCTCTCTTCTCTTCTCTTCTCTTTTCTCTCTTCTCTTCTCTTCTCTTCTCTTCTCTTCTCTTCTCTTCTCTTCTCTTCTCTTCTCTTCTCTTCTCTTCTCTTCTCTTCTCTTCTCTTCTCTTCTCTTCTCTTCTCTTCTCTCTCTCTCTCTCTCTCTGAACCCTACAGAAGCGAAGAAATTCGCGACCCCTTTTTTGCCGCAGTCAATCTCGTTCTTTGCATCAAGCTCTTTAAACTTTCGCTTTCATCGGAGACTTTAGAGCAGAGGCGAAAGTGTGGTGAACGGGGGCCCAACCACCCAAAAGTCCTCTCAACCTCCCCCTGTGAGGCTCCGCCGCCTTGATCGTGACGGTCTTCTTGCCTTCTGGGATCGGCACCTCCACCTTGAAGGGGAGCTGCATATGGAGTGGGTGGCCCCCAGGTTTAGAGTAGGTTTTCTAGGGCGCAGGGTCCTGCGATTTTGTTTGGATTCCTTTTTGTGAAGGGTTGAGGGCGGGCTTGAGTGTTACGAATTCGGGTTTTCAGTTAAGCACTGTTTAGGATGTACGGTTTAGGGAGTTTAGGGCTCAGGGTTTAGGGCTTCGGTCTTGGCTCTTTCAATTGAGGGTTTGGGATTGTGAGTTCGAGGTTCTCACCGCACCCTCAAGCAAGGCGCTGGGTTCAGAGCTACGTGGCGTGGGGTTTGACCCATTTCGTGGGGGGGCCGCTGTGTATTGGGGAGGTGTGCAGGGTTCGGGGCTTCAGCGTTGGATTCATCTCGGGGGCCTTCAAAGGGGTCCAAGGAGCCTGCAGGGTTCAGGGCTTCGGGGTTGGATACCCTACACCCTAAATCCCAAACCCTAAACCCTAAACCCCTTCAGTCCCTTAAGCTTAAGGATTCGGGCTTGGGCTGAAGTATGCATCCGCGGTGCATCCGCGGAGTCATTTGCAGGCAGGTTCACCTTGAAGAAGGAGCCTTTCGCAGGCTTTTTGAGGCTGCGTCAACTCAAGAATCCTTGAGCCCAAGCGACCGCCGCCCTGAGCACGAAGCACCGACGAGAGATTCCAGGCCTGGCTTTGCACCCTCGGGTACCAGGATGTGGTAGAGCTTCCCATCGATCTGGATTGAGGACTTTGGGGTGAGAGTCGGTGAGAGCAGGCAGCTTGAGGAATTGAGCCCTTGCAAGCATGCTTCTTAATCACATGTACAGGGCAGGGGCTAAACTCAGGATGTGGCATCAATCCTCCATAGTGGTGTGCGTGAAGCTCAAGCTCAAGCCCAAAGTCCAAAGCACAGGGAATTCTCGGTCCGGCCTTCTTGGTGAACGTGTCTCCGCTCCGAAGATCCGCGGGGACCTCCACCTCCTCAAGATGTGTGGCTTGGAAGAATCTGAGGCATCTGCAAAGGAACAGGAGAATGGCTCTGGGACAGGAGCCTCGCCTTCTCTGAGATGATCTGATAGATCTCTACCCCCACCTGGCAGAGAGGAAAGTAGTTCCTTCCCCTTCGGTCGGCTCTTGGGCTTCTGGGGGTTCGAGGCCTCGCTGGAATCCAAGGAGACGAACTGCTCGGAGGACACGGGCACGGCACCCTGCACAATTCGGATTCTCTTTAGCTCAGACGCTCAGGCTCCAAGCCTCTAAACGTCAAGGAAAACCCCTCAAATGCTTGGAGGCCTTGACTTCTAGCTGGTAGTTAGGGTTGTTGCCCGTGACCTCCTTGGACTCGTATGACCAACCTGCAGAGAGTTCGGGGATTTGAGGGTTGGGTTTGTACTGCTTGGGTTTGGGTGCACATTCTGCCACACATTCAACACTCGAGCTTGTTCTGTGCGACTGCAGTGTTCCTAATCGAAAGTTCAAAGACTCTAAGATCTGTGGCTGGCACATATGCCCGAGGCATGTAGGCAGCGTGAAACGTTCTCCAGTGCCCTCTCAGTGCTCAGCCCAGCAAGTGGAGAACGGCTTTGGTCTTGAATTCCATGGGGAACGTCTCCTGAAGCACCAGTCTTTGAGGGCTTTCAGGGTGCAGAGTAGGTTTTGGCAAGCTTTGGGTTCACGGTTTCGGCTATGCACGGATACTGTAGCGGCACGTTTCTGATACTGTCCGGATGCCATCTCAAGACTTTTTTCACGTGTCATAAACCACGGCGCATTCAGGTGCTGGGATGTGTTCTGCCCTTGGCAAAAGTGCCATCGAATGACACTGCACCCTGTGCCGAAATGACCACTTTCCGCTGGCCGACCCGAGGCTCCCTAGCTTGTGCTAGCCGAAGCAAGCAATGGCCCTACACCTCCAATCCTAGCTCTAACGATGCCAGCTCTAGCAAAACCCCCCGAAGCCTCACAAAACAACCCATGCACGGGCAGCACCCCTCACCTGCCCCTCCACCTTGGGTTCGGACCTTCGCGGCTTTTCAGCGTCCGGTGTGGGGGCTCAGCTCTGGCTCTGAAGGGCTTGGGGTTACGATGCTCATCGGCTGAGCCAGAATGAAACACTTGAGCTGTTTGCGGTAGCTTTTGACTGCCTGACCTCTCCTTGCGCCTGCTGGATAATACGCCACCGCCCAATCTAATTCATCCTACATCCGGCTTCAGACATCAATGTAGACATTGCTTGTCCACAACACCCTGAATCGCAACTGGGTCTGGTCCGAGCTCCACGCAGCGTCACCGTATTTAGCCTGCCCGTTAGTTGAACCCATTGGACGGCTTTGCCCTGTGCGATGGCCTGAGCGACGAACACATGGGGCTAAAGACCAAAACAAGATTATCCTCTATTTTCACACGATCCTGCACACGAAAAGCACGACTGCACTGCCTACATTCATTGAATCTGTGACCCCCCCCGCGCAACGCGGACCAAAGACCTGAACCCGAAGTGCATGTCGGTGGGGCCCCCGGGCGTACAGGCTGACAACTTGCATTTGGCTTCACGAAGAAGAGGCCGCGGCAGTCGCCACGGTGAGGTTTTGTGGGGCTCCGAAGGCCTCTGAAGCACGGGAGGCTCGAGGTTCGAGGCTTACCTTCAAGAACTTGCAGCTTGAAATTTCAGATGGGCAAGGACCGAAAGACTCCTCAGAAGCAAAAGAGCCTCCATGCTCTGAACCTTGTCAGGGTTCAACGATGCTCGACATGCTTTCCAAGTGCCTTAAAGGGGTCCTGAGAGTCGAAAGCAAGCCACCCTTCCCTCAACCCTGAGCCCATGAATTCGACCATGCTGGATGGGCGCCTCCTTCTTACCAGACTGCATGGCCAGGCACCTATCCCATGCCTGGCTTCAGATGTGAGGTTGAAGGGTTTTGGTCCATGGCAATGGGTTTTGGCGACCTGTGCAGGACACGGCATACAGCATGGGATATGCTGAGCCCTGGGCCACGCGTGGTCCGTTGATCGTGCACCAAACTCCAGCATCGCCATTCAGCAGGCCGGCTCCTCCCCGCACAAGAGTTTGCACTGGTACTCCGGGTGCCGTGGACATCTGCGCTTGAGCACTGCGGGTGTGCTCGCAGAATGCAAACGCAGTGGCACAGATGTAGGTGCTTCGGAATCAGGGACAATGGAAGAACCTATGCAAAGGAGAAACGAATGTTCGAGCCGCTACACCCTTTCATAGCTGAAAAACCTGAACCCTCAACCAGAACCCGTGCTGAAACCCTCCACCCAAAAAGAAGCGAGAGCTCCTGGCCGCGGCTCGGAATGCAAAACGACCTTGGGGCCCCGAAGTGCCACGTAAAATCTCGTCAAAAACCCCAAGCCAAATCAAACCTTTGCACCTGCAACACCCTGAAAACGCCGAAGCTTAAACTTAAATCCAGACAATCACGCACATCCTCAACTCTCAACCCACATGTTGCTTTCATGACCGAGCGCCTGCCGAGAGGCAGTCAGAGGCTAACTGGATCGCGAAAGGCTGAGTGCCAAGCAGAAGAGACTCGGTCCAGGTGGATGAACTTGGACCTTGGACCCAAAAGGAAAGGTCGTTCAAGGCCTATGGTCTTGTTCTACAGTTAACTGATCATGTTATTGACTGCTTTTGTCCCCCCCGTCTCTTCCAGTAACTGCCAAAGCTGACAAAACCTAAAACCGAACCCTTCGGTGAAGGTCCCGGCCAGTCCGTCTTGTTCAGTGCAGCAATTCCGTCCGTGGACTGTTGGTCCGCGAAGAACCTGAGGGGTAGGGGGGTTGAACATTGGGGTCGGCTTTCATCTAGGCAGCTGCGCAGCCCCCTGGGCTAAACAGCGCAACCTGAAATTACAACATAGCAGGCACACGAGCGGTTGAGATGTTAACACGAGCCGATAGGCCTCAGGCCTTGTGCGAAACTCAGGTTTGAAAAGGTTCAGGGCATGTGAACCAGCTTGCTTTGCCACGAAGCCTGATTGATGGAGCTCAAGGCGCAAGATGAAAAGGGAATGATCAGGATGTGATGTATGCAGGCTGAACTTGCAGATACAAAGCAAGCGTCAACCGGCATCCGAAGCCCCGTTCTTGACATGGGATGCCGTACCTCTGCCGGGGGACCCCGAACCCCAAACCTCTGACAAACTCAGGCCAGAACAGGGCAGACAGGTTATCAGAAGCATACACCAGCACCTCAGAAGGCCAGTTGCAGGTTCGGAAACTTCATTTACGCATAGTGGGCAATAGGGTTTGGGGCGCATCTTGGCAAGAAACCTTCCATCACCACGCGTGGCCCTCTACCCAGCAAACTCGGCAAAGTGTTGGAAGCTCTCCTCATATCGCAACCTACACCAGGCGTCCAACTGTCTGAAGAGCAAGGTTTCCGTCTTGAAGCGCCGAGTAGCCCGGCCTAATGGTTCAGGCGAGCAAAGTCCAGGGAGCGCGTGTAGGGCTTTTAAAGATAGTCGATTCTGTTCTAGTGGTTCTACCTTGGACCCTGAAGGTTGTACCCTTGGGTTGTGGGGAATCTTTTCTTAATCTTATGGTAGTATAAGGGCCATTTAAGGAGTATATTAAGAGGAACCTTTAGGGGTACAAACCTTAGGGTTGCAGTTCTCAACCCCTTGATCTGTTCAAAGACAAAGGCTGTTGGGCCTACGGCTGAAACCACATGTCCCCTGGCAGGGCTGAGGCGCAAGCGAGGTGGAGCGCAGAACGTCCTTGTCCTTGTTCCACTTCTCAAAAGCCTGATTCATTTCTTGCGCGACCTCCGGGACCAAGGCACAGGCCACGGTTGGACAGGAAGCACTGCATCAAGTGCGGCGGCTCCAGAGGCCGGATGCTTAGAGCAGAGAAAACATGCAGGCCTTGTCCTCTTTGTTGCCGGCGTTGGTGTTGTTCGTGTCCCCCTGCTAGGTGCTGTCAGCGGACATTTGACACACCCATGCAGCATGCTCACGAGACTTCGACCTCCGCCAAGTTAACAAATGGAACACTTCCTCCAGCTTTGTAGATCAAATTATCCGAATAAGGAAGGGTACCCGTTGAGCTGGGCAAGGTCTGCAGGCAGCCACAAGGCCACAATCCCCCGAGTCGGACTGTACATGTGAGCCAATGCATCTACGTGACACAACCTCTGCAACTACTCTTCACAAAGCCTCTTTTCTTGGAGTGCTTCTTGGGGTTCGAAAAGGTGGTTGCGCGGTGGCTCAGGCGCTCCCACGAGCCGCCGGCCTGGTTTGGGTCGGCATCTTTCTTCTTTCCGGCCTTGGAGCTCAAGCTCATGACCCAAGGCATGTAGCCTGATAAATCCAACATCATGCTGGAGAAAGTATCGCTGTTGTGACTCTACTGAAAGCAACCTTAATTGGAATGATTCTAAATGCGCCAGCTATACCCTGCATAGCCGTAGAATCCTTCCCCCTTCCCAACCTTCCCCCCTTCCCAACCCTCCCCCCACCACACGGGCGGAGGAAAAAGCCGAGGGAGCAGGAACGAAAACCTCTCTGCAGCTGACTTGGGGCCACGCGTTCACCTTCAGGCTCAAGTGGCAAACGTCATCTGCAGAGACCTCGGACACCAAGAATGGTCGATGGTGCTGAGATGTGCAGAGTCTGGGGCCTACGAGGGTTTGGGTTGGATGCTGACTGCTCAGGGCTTGAAGGTTGTGATGGGCTGCTGGTTTGGAAGTTCAGGGCAAGGCACGGAAGTCCTTCAGCTTTCGGTGGTTCCATGGGTTCGCTGCTGAATTTCTGTGGCTTGCGAACTTTTTGGGCCATCACCCTGGCAAGAGACCAAAGGTGCTCGCTGCACCTAAAGAATTGAAAAACAACAGTTGCCCTCGAGGTGACGAGCAGCGTGTAGGCTGAGGAGGACTGACGCAGCACCCAACTAAGGATTGCACAATAGATACACGTGCAAGTGCAAGTGAGAATCCAACAAGCCAACACTGCTCCTACTCCCCAAGCGTGGGAAATATCCAGCCACAACCTCGAGGCTGGGGCGGTTTGCATGGAGTAGTCCACTACTTGGCCCACTTTGGCAGATTGCACCTGAGAAGTGCGGCAGGGGTAGGGGTTTTTGAAGACTTCTACCGACGCCAACTCCTCACCCCATCATCTGGAGACAGCTACACTTAGTACTACCCTGTTTGCAAGCACTGCGCCCAGAAGCCCTTGCTAACTTCTCCTTTTCCCAACGGCACCCTTGCCATCATGTTGGAGGTCAGCGGGTACGTCCTGTCGAAGATCATGTCTTCCCTGTAGCTTCGGAACCTGGAGGCAGACAGCCCATAGTATGTAAGTATTGGTGAGGTGCCCAAGAGCACTATACACCCTGAGCGAAGCCTGAAGCCCTGAAGCCATCCAAAGCGCTTCGCCATCAAATGGCAGATCCAAGCCCTTCGTGCCTCTGCTGGATGCGCGTGATCACTCCCTCTCGGACCTTAGTTTTGGACAGAGGGGTGGCAGACAATGTACTGACAACTTGATGGGCTTCGGTGGCTGCTCGTTTGGGGGGCTGGAGGCTGAGAGTCCTAAAGTTTGGCACTTAGGGCCTAAAATTGCACGAAATATGTTACCCTCGCATGCCTAAGCCCATGAAGCCTTGAAAACCCTGAAGCCTTCGTGCTGAGTGCGCTTGGAGTCCAGCAGAATAGGGATTGAGGGTCTCACCCAAAAATGTTTCACAGAAACCTGGTTCTGGCGCCCTGTAGCACTGCAGGCATGACGAGGATGTTCTACTATACAGTTGTGTGTCATGTTCATGTGTTCTTCTTTACCCTTTCTTTGCCAAGCTTACGGCTTCGCGGACGTGGGTTTTGAGCTCATCGGAATATTGGGCGGACAGGACACATCGTCGATTTCTTTGGCCTTCTGCTTGCCCAACTTCGTGAGCTTCTCGGACATGAAACCTTGGCTTTTTCAAGCAAATGAAACACAAAATCTAAAATCCTGCGATTGAAGACACGACAACATGCCCCAACCGTGACCCAGAAACGCGCTGCCCAGATTTGCTGATCCTTGCGCCGCTGTTTTTCTTCCATTTTCTTCCTGGCGAGGCTTCAGGGCAATCTTAGCATTTGTGATCTAGGCCTTCTGCATGTTTACCAACCCAAAGAGCTCCAGGCTTCGGGGCTGCCAGACACAGTTTTGCAGGCTGCGTCCTGTAGACCAACTTGAACTTCATCCAGCCGCGGCTGATGTCAACCTGCACCATCGAACTGTGCAGATCCTGGATTAGACCCATGTGACCAAACATCCAAAACCCAAGCTAGCGTGACGAATGAGACAACCCAAGCCTTTCGCGCCCCAGAGTGTTGAAATGACTTTCTGCAAAGCATGATCTGGCTTCAGGCAGGTAAGCAAGATGCTGAGGCCTTCATCAGCCTCATGGCCATGTTCTTCACCAAGGCTTTTGTCTTGGCATACTCACCTGGGACATGCCCTGCTCTGCTACCGAAACCCACGCATCCTCAAACAAGCCTTGATTCCGTCCCCAACAAGGAATTTCGAAGTCTGGCCTAGCATCCCAAGCACGTGAACTTTAAACAAAGCCACGGACGCTTCGCCACTCGCTGAGCACAATTCATTCTGGGCCAGTATTCGGCGTTCATACCCACAAGCTGCTGCTTTACGCTGCCTTCCCGCCAACTCCGAAACCTCCTACACAACGGGGGCCCGGCTGTAGTACATGGCTAGGGAATCCCAAGCTTTTTGCAAGGCCCCAGAAGTGGCACGACCGATGGACCTCAGGCGATCCGAGGGTGTTCCTGCTTCTGTTTTTTGATTAAGCTTGGAAGGTAAAAGGGTCGAGAAGCACCTGAGGGCGCTTGAAGGTTTTGGGTCTCCTTCCATCCGGTTTACAAGGTTGACTCTGCAAGCAGCTCTACATCAAAATTTAACAGGGCTCGAGGATGGGCATTCAGAAATTCTGCGGCCGAATTCTATTGACTGATCCTTGCGAAGATGCAGTTCTCAAGCTAGGTTTATTGAAGGATTTAGAAAACAGGGACACTGAGTTGAAACGGACAAATACAGTGCCTCTTACTTGCACGTGACACCTCTACAGCCTCTACACATGCTTTCAGCGTTCTAAACCCAAACGTTCTAAGCACTATACCGCCAAATCTCAAAGCTCCAAACCCTAACTCAACCTTCCCAATAATTCCCTCCAGTCCCTGACATGAAACCAACACCCGGAGCAAACGCAACAAAAGCACTGAGGCCGCCACACCTTCAGCGCCCGACGGTCGTTCTCTGAAACTAACACCTTCCGTTGAAGATGTTGGGCCCCAAAGATGCTTGAGCTTTGGGCTTGAGGGGGGCTTCAGGTGACGAGATCCAAGATCATGGACACGGGGCTCACAGCTCATGAGCCATATGGAAGTGTTCAGCAAAGACTGGTCATCAGAAGTATCCCACAAACACCAGTTTGGGGTGCCAAGCCTCAGAGAATCAATTGGGCATCCTAAACATTGAACCAGCCTTGGCCAGCGTGAACGCTCGTTTCCATCTGTGGATCTTGGCATCATCCTTTGAATACAAATACAACCTCAGTAGGCGAGTAGGCGATGGGCACTAAAACGTGGAGAGGCTAAACATGATCATGAGTACCACAGTAGCTTTCCTTGCAGTGTTTGGCAAACCGGGCTGAACATGTGTCCATGGCCGTGTGCAAGACATGGCTTCTTTCCACGAACTGACGTGCAGCTGCAAGTTCTTGCAATGTCTTACCACATTACTCCAGAAAGGCCATTCCATCACAAAACATATCACCACCCCCACCTTGAAGCACCGCTGTAAAACCATATCCTGCGAAAAGAGCTCTCTTCAACAGCAGTCCTTTCCCATCCTTTCCCTGGAGATCTGTGGTCCCGGGCGGAGACTTGCCTTGCGCCTCTCTTTCTGAACAAATTACACGGAGGCGCATTTGGTAGCCTGGCGCAAGCAATATAAACCAATAGGTTATCTTTTCTTGGGGGCTTCATTTTTGGAACAAGCACCAAAAAGGATAGGGTTCGAAGACGTAGTGCTGGGCACCTTCAACCCTGGACCGAGAACCTTGGGGTTGTGGCTGAACTTAAGATTCAGGGAGGCCAATCTGACGTTAACAAGCGGAACCAGGTAGCAGCGGCTCGTGAAGTCTTCTGGACAGACCGCAGCGCAGACTGCAAGCGCCTTCTTGCCATTTTGGCAGAGAAGACGTCCGCGGCTCTTCGTAGAAGCAGGTGGCATTTTTCAGATTGTAAATTGCCTGGGGGCCAAGTTGGGGTCGAGATGGTAAGGCATCAAGTCTTGGGCTCCAGAGACTTTAGGGATATTGGGATGTCAGGGTCCTTTTGTTTGGAGGATGTGGGGCTGCTGGCACCGACCTAGCACTGCCACCACTCTGGAAACCGTCACATCACCCTCGTCACCAGCAGAACCTCAAGCCTTCAAGCCAGAGCCTACGGGGCGTGCTGTAACTCAGTCGAGAACTCTTGAAAGGCTAAGGTTCCTCCTGCGCGGGTTTGGGTTTCAAGATGCTTGAGCGGTTTCAGCTGCGAAAAGCTTACGACACGCAACCTCCGACTGAAACACCCGCGAATCAAGTCGCATCAACCCGTTGCACACAGTTGCACGCAGCCAAAACCCCAATTCTCCCCTGCGGCCTTGACTTTTGCGTTGGGATGATGATCCCTGTACACGAGCAGCTCACCATTGTCGATGATGAAGCTGCGCTCCACCCTGTGGCAACGTTGCTGAGGGCAGCTGATCGTAAGGTTCAAGCTCTAAACTGTTGAACCAGAAGTGAAGGTTGAGGGGCAACCAACCAATCTCTACCGCGGGGCTTGAGGACTTGACGCCATCCGCATTGCCGCTCGTTATTAGGATCTCCCATGTCAGATCGTGCCATTTAACCGGATGGCTGGTGAGGTCACACCCACATGTTCAAACACCGAATCATGAACGCCTCCATCCAAATCACAAACAGCAAACCCCTAGAAGGACCCCATGCTAGAACAACGAAAGCGAAAAAACAAGCCAGATGACAGTGGCTGCTCTTGGGCTTGAAAGCAGCTTGCGGCTGCTGGGGGTCGGCGTTGAGTTCTGATGCGATCATGGCGGTTCCGGCGGCTAAGCCGCCGACCGGGCGTTGCAGCAAGGGCGACTCTTGGAGATCTTGATCCTGAGACAAAGAAAAGCGTTACATCGACAAGATTGCACCCACTCAAGCACCGTGGTCAAGCTTAGCATGGGCAGACCAAATCTGCGCACCCAGATCCTAAATCCTGAATCCTTTCTGAACTCCCTTGAAACCTAAGACTCTGAACCACCCTAACATCCAGCCTCCTCCCGCCTCACGGTACATCCCGAGTTTTCTGAACCCCCTGACCCTATCAGACTAGCGGACTCCAAAAATCTTCGACTTTTGGGGTCCAGAGATGCATCAAGAGGACGATTTCGAGTTTTGCGATGCATAGTTTCAGGGCAACGATTCTTTACTGGTTCTCCGCTTGCCGAGGGTCAGTGTCTCTCTCTTTCGGTCTTCCCGGTGCTGCACCACATTCTGGAGCTTCTTCTGAGCTGCGCCTCGAACAGCCCACGTCAGATGCACTGAAGCTCAAAGGGTTGGGGGCCCCATTTGGGGGGGTTCTTTTTTAACAGGACTCGGGTTTTCTTCGGGCTTGTGGCAAGGACTCGGGTTGGGTTGTGAGTGACCTTCGCAAACTCCATGGAGAGCCCAAGAAGCGGCGCCCGCCTGACACAGTGAAGCGCGCCTGTCCTTCCAGCAAGAGCTTGATCTTTGCCTGGCACTCACACTCAAAGATGGTGCAGAGCCAAGAAGCCACTTTCAAGATCTCTTAGCCGCCAACACATTCAAAAATGCAAAAACCGTGAAGGCCTGGATATCGTCGGCTTCGGGCGCGCTGTACGCAGAGGCCACGGACAGCTCTTTGGCGTCCAACAACCTGATCTGCTCGGCGGCGATCATCATTGCCTGCAAGGGCAGCTTGATGACGTGTGCATGGTGTAGGACGATGGATCGCATATACAGCATGGATTGAGGCATCTTTAGTGTCTTTAGTGCAACCATCTTGAAAAAGCTTCGCGTCATATGCTCCATGCATGAAGTTACATAAACAAGCTGGAAGACATGTTGATCTTTGGCAAACCCTGAGATCCTACATCCGCTGCATGTTCATTGAGGGCTGCAAGCATCAATATGAATGAAGTGGGCTTGCTCGCATTGATGACATCTACAGATTCAGTTCTTCCAAGAAAGACACTCAACGCTACACACCCTGATCTTGTATTTTTTGACAGCAGTCAAACAATGACAAACGATCCCACGTTCCCAAAACAAGCTGTACATGTCGACCTCGCATCAGAAACTGGCCTGCTTCACTGCTTTGTGATACGAGCCATCGCCCCTCAGCCAACCCTGCCCGAGACAAGGATCGCAGGTGCTGGTTGTTGCAAGGGTGCAGATGGATGCACAAAGTTCGACGTTGAAACCGGATGCCTTCAAACCCAAAGGCTCTGTGGCAAGGGGTTTGTAGCAAGTAACGTTTTGGTGTTTAGGCGGCTCACAGCTCCACGTACAGAGAACTCACCAATTGAATCGCAAGTTTGACATTTGACACCACACGTTAGTAACATGCACATCTGACCCTCAATGGCCTTGCTGACGGTTTTCTGGGGACCTCCATCCACAAGGGCGATCCGCGTCGCCTGATCGTGTTCATCAAAGACTTCAAAGAACCCAAATTCACAAAAACGAACAAATCCTTGTTGGCGTTAGACACACATTGTGCCTGTCGCTGAGGCCGAAGATCAACTGGACCAGTACTTGTTCCTGGTCATCAGATCAGGCAACTGTTTCTTTTCCCTGGTCTGAAAGAACGGACACAGCACAAGACCAAGAAGAGGTTTTTTGAGGCAGCGGCGCAGCACCAAGGGTCGCGCTTCCTGCCGCTCAGCCATTGCTGCGAAAGCAGGACGCCCTAGATCATATTCCTTGGGCCGAATATCACAGTGCAAAATGCATCGACATCGACATCGACAACACAAATCATCTTCCAATCATACCCAACCACAACATTTCGTCGGCATAAGTTGCGAAAAGCATGGCTTCCGAGCATATGCCTTGCTGCAAGCCTACGTACGCCGACCTTACATTCACAGACCAAAGTGCCCAGGCGCTCAAAGCTCTTATACAGACTGTATATGCGCAACTACTTTCGCAGCCGGAGAAGCATGTCCCATGCACTCCCACTCTGATGGCTAGGCATGCGGAAAACTCTGCACAAAAACTGACACGTGTCTAACTCTGCACAAATCAAGTTGTTATCGCAAGGTGCTGCCCACATGTGCCCAATCAATAAAATAAAAGCCATCCTGGTGTTCTCGTTCCGGGAGCGTTATCGAACTTGAACGTGTAACTGTCTAACTGTGTAGCTGAAACATGCTGAAGCCATGCCTAAACATCACACCGTGGGCGAATCTCCATGAGGCAAAATTCTAAGCTCGATACAAAGAAGCGAAAACAATGCACAATGAGGTTTTCATCCAGAAGGCGCGATACAGCAGCATACGGCATTCCATGGCCGCTCGCCCCGTAGATGTTCTTGTGCTGCAAGCTACGGTCAGAGCACTTCCGAGCCACGGGCACGGAGACATACCGGCACATGATACAGTCGCGGGCAAAAGCTTGATTCGACTTCGCTCTGCACTTGCGGATGCGACATCCGGGCAATATCCGTGAATCCGTGGTAGACAGTCCTTGTTTTCTCCTTCTTGGAACGTTTGGCGTAGTAAGTTGCATGCCGTGGCACAGGACGTGCGGCGAGAATACGAGGTCGTGAAGTGCCTCGCACCCCCACGCCCCCGCTAGGGGCGCTTTCAAGTTGTCCTCTGTCAGCAATCTCAAGATTCCTTCTGCCCATGATTTCAATTTCGGTCGTTCAACTGGATCCCTATTGGACGTATCACCACACCTCAAATCTGAGTGACCTTGTGCAGTGCCATGGCAATTTCCGTGGCGCTGCAACCGTACTAAGTTTCGACGCTGCGGGCAAACTCGCTGGAATTCCGGCCGGCCACTAAGGAATATGATGTGAAAAAAAGCCTGGACGAGGTGCCTCGCCGAGTCGTCCGCGTCAATGGCAGCTTCTAAGCTGCACCGACGCAGCGCGCACGTCCCTCGCTGCGTGCTCCCTCAAACGCTCTGCAATTGGACGCCAGTTGCTGGAATGGCGACTTGCTCTGCAGGCTCCCCGTCGGCAACCCACACCGGATAGCCGCAGGCAGAATATGTCGAAAACCGTGGACCATAAATGATGATGTACAACCCTCTGCACAGAAGTTGCAATGTCCGGGGACTTACTGTAAATAAATCATTACTTTCTGCACAGAACTTGCCAAGGCTTCACTACCACACGACGACGACGACAACGACGACGACGACGAAGACGAAGACGAAGACGAAGACGAAGACGAAGACGAAGACGAAGACGAAGACGAAGACGAAGACGAGGACGAGGACGAGGACGAGGACGAGGACGGAGAGGACGAGGACGAGGACGAGGACGAGGACGAGGACGAGGACGAGGCGAGGACGAGGAAGAGGAAGAGGAAGAGGAAGAGGACGAGGAAGAGGACGAGGACGAGGACGAGGACGAGGACGAGGACGAGGACGAGGACGAGGACGAGGACGAGGACGAGGACGAGGACGAGGACGAGGACGAGGACGAAGACGAAGACGAAGACGAAGACGAAGACGAAGAACGACGACGACGAAGACGACGACGACGACGACGACGACGGCCCGCGAACGTCCGTGAGTCCGAACGTCTCCCCCATCTGGTCCATCACCGTCACGACCTTGAGGTCCTTCCACCTTCTTCTTTTTCTTCTTTCTTCTTTCTTCTGCTGCTCCTTTTTTTCCTACCTTTAGGCGATCTCTTGGGTTGCCGCTTCAGTGACCTTGAGAAGATCAAGATGGCCTTTCGGCTTCTGGCCTGTTGTCGTTTAGCTCATGCTGCAAGGTAACCTCTTGAACTTTCAAGCCACCCATCTGTAGATGAGCGTGGTTGCATTTTTGATAAAGACCTTGCGAGGCATACCTCACACTTCCGACAAGTCTTTTCCAAACAACTGCGCAACCTGGCATCGTTTGGTTTCGATTAATCAAGTAGCACTCGTCTGGACAGTTCCAGCGCAAGCTTACCGCTTGGCACACTTGCCGACTGTTTGGATGTTTTTTTTCGGTCTTTGGTTGTTGCTTTCTTGCTTTCTTTCTTGGTGTGACCTTCTTGCCCTTCAAGTCTTTGGTGTCCCCTCAAACCCACATTCCGACTCCGCATACTTTTCCTCTACTTTAAAATTGTAAACACAGGAAACAAAAACAAGAAACAAGAAATCGCGATCAATCACACTCGGTAGCAACCACTCCAGAAAAAAAGACTCTTATCATCGACAACGTCAAAGTCGATTTCGTAAGTCATCCATCAAATAGTAGAAAATCGGCCTCTGCCTCACGGTTCCAGGGCTTCGTCCGAAGAATAAACTTCGGAGATGTGGGAATTGAAACGCAGGTTCAACCTGAACTTGGAACTAAGAGTTCAACAGTTTGGGTGGAACCTGGA